TAAGTTAAGTGTTTGGAAATACTTGTCAATAATGTAAGTATATTTTGCAAGCTGTGCTGTACTGCATAGCAAACCAGTGTGCAGCACATGCCTCCAAGGGAGAAGAGTGTGCAAGGAACTTAGAGAATGACCCATTTGCTTGCAATGCCATCTGCTGATGTACTAATTTATTGCAGAAAATAGCAGTTGCAGTACCTTAGTGACTGCAAACATACAGGGCAGCGTTGTCGTTCATCACAAATAAATACACCTAAAATAGCACCTGGCTGACAAGTTTTTTGGCTGAAGAACCAGAACTTCTGGTTAGAAAAGGTGCTGGTAGCTTTAGCGGAGAGGGAAGGGTCGTCTTGACCTCTCAAGTCTTTGTAAATCAGGACCAAAACTCCTACATTCCTGCCTCCTTTTGAAAATTATATTTAGGCTGCTGTATTATTTGGATACCTTTGGAAAATAGACTGGTTTGGTTCTTCTGCCCTGAGATCTTGTTGCTGTCCAAGTTGGTAGGCAGTTGGTAAAGACTCGGGGCCATGACTGCTCCATTTGATTACTAAATATCTCTTGTTCCAATGTGATCCAATCCAAGATCCTATTGGGGTAGCTGGCCTTACCTCTAGGACTGCCCTGCATCCATGCACGGGGAAACTTACATGGAGCACTGCCCCGGATAGGTTGCCCAGAGAAGTTGTGGATGCCTCATCCCTGGAAGTGTTCAAGGCCAGGTTGGATGAGGCTTTGAGCAACCTGGTCTAGTGGAAGGTGTCCCAGCCCATGGCAGGGGGGTTGGAACTAGATGATCTTTGAGGTCCCTTCCAACCCAACCCATTCTATGATTCTCAATCCTATTCTCTTATATTCAGTGTTTTGCTTCCTATGCAAATGTCCACAGCAGAAAAACGTCCCCTGTGGATCTGCAGATGGACTGTTATCTTTGTGATGAAGGGAGGCACAAATGCAGCACAGTAATATGTGTTTCTGCTGCCTGCCACAGGTAAGCATGGCAGTGAAGTCAGCAGCATGGGCAGGCATGTACATAGGTTTGTAGCCCATGCTGAAGCCCACGCTGTAGCTGTAGGGCTGTTGAGTTAGTGGTGCCAGCTGAGTTGAAGTTGATGCAGGCATGCAGATGTGCCAGCCAAGATTAGAGCTGTTGCTGTGTAACCTCACACCAAATAACTTAACTTCCTAATTTGCTCTTAATTGCAAAAGCAACCAAAAGAGGTCTTGAGTCATTTGTTTTTCCAATAGAGTCATCAGTCAGGCCAGTAATTGATTGGAGATAAATTTGTGGACAAACATTTGCTTTTGTGCTCTGAAAAAAATGGTCATGTTTATGCCAGTGTAGACTGATATGTTCTCATGCCAGGATATGCATCTGTCCTATTCTTCCAGCAGGCTTGGCTATTGACACTCATTTTTTGTATCATTGTCAGTGTTACCAGTGATTTGAACTGCTATTAGGGATGAATATTTACACTTTCTTTCCACCTGTATTTATCTGAGTAAAACACAGTTCTGTTATCTGTCTTTCCGTCCTTATCTAAAAGTAACTTTTAGAACAAGAAATAATTTAATCCTCTAATTTTATTTATTCTTAATTGGAGCTTAGTGGAATGCTGTCACTTCTTGATCATTTAAATCTCTCCAGATACAAGAACTACAGAGAAGTACAAAAGTAGTAGTGAAGAGTGCTAGTTCAACAGTCTCTTCCAGTAGCATCATTTTATCCTTTTTCAGGATCTGAATGCAGGGGTGCAATCAAGCTGGTTTCGCTTCGCATTACTTTTCTTTCTGTGAGCCTTCTGTGACATTGAACCATCAGTGAGAAGAGGTGGTACTTCTGGCAGAGCAGTCCAAGACATATTTTTTCAAAAATTCACATAAGGCATAGAAAAAGGATGAGGATGGCCTCAAGCCAAGCTTTGGAGGCACCAAAAGCTTTTTCCCTTGCTTCATTTGGAGGCATTTTCCTGGGAATTAGCAGCAGTTCCTGCATGGTACCATTTTCCTGTTCTCCACAGAGAGCTGACAGGAACTGTGGAGAGCAGTTTCCCTCTGACCTGACCCAAAAGTTCCCAGCACACAATTTAAAAGAATCAGCTTGTTTTAGATAAGCTTGTTTGGATAATCTTATTTGAGATCCTAGGCTGCTGTACCACACGGGACTGTGTCTGCTTTCTTTGCTGAGCTTCCTTGGTTTTCAGTGCTTTTTGTCCATCAGGCCCTTCATGCTCATCTTCTCCTTTTTAAATCCTTCAAGCTGTTGTATATCTTCTAGTCCTTCTGAAAGATGTATCTGCACTATAGTGTAGGCGCACCTGAGCTAGCTTTAAATTGCTCAGGCAGTGCTGGCAGCAGCATTTCTGCAGAAGCGTTGGGTCTGAGTGCAGGATTGCTGAGCTCCTTCAGCAGGTTTCACAGCCCGTGCCAAGCTCTGTGTTGCCAGGGCAGAGCTGCTGGCAGGTCTCAGGTTAGCTGAGAGCTCGGTGCAGACACTGCCATGGCTGCGACGCAGCCTTTACTGTGATGTTTGTGAAACAGCGAGTAGGCAGGTGAGAAGCTGCCGTTTAAACAAAACACCAGAAAAGTTGTCAAACCTACAGATTTTGCACAATAAGAAAAACTATCTTACTTTCACTGTCTGAGCCCAGGTTATCATTAAACAGACTATTTAAGTTTTTCCTGATTTTTTTTTTCTTCTCCTTCTTATGATTCAGTTCTTTAAGTAATAAGGGAAATTTATTAAACTGTAGGATATTCCTTCTTGTGGGTTCTTCAGCATCTCTTATCTCTCTGCAATTGCCATATACGTGGAAAAAAAAATGTGCCCTGAGGGAATATTCTTGGTACTGTGAAAATAGTGACAGCCACAGCAACTTGCTGATTTCGGTGTGTAACAACTTTAACACAAAGATATCAGAGGATATGGCAGATGTGAACTGGACCCCATTTACTGTAATAATGAGAAGTTTTGTAGTTCTTGCTTTACAAAGAAGTGATGTGAGCCACATAACAGTTAAAACTTGTCATAGTTCAGGCTACAAATTTGGGGTAGAATTGTTTATATTGTCCATATATCCTGGCAGTATGAAATCAAAGTTAATGAGCAAATTTCTGTAGCAAAACTATATATATGCACCTGTCTGTATTGTGTTCAATTACTAACCCTTTTACAGGGTTAGGGAGTTAAAGAGGATTCAGATTATCTTGATCAGTTGAAGATCTAGTTTGAGGTTTGAAACAGCCTAAATATACACTTGAATGTAGCTGGTTTGTGGAAGTGACTCATCCGAAAGACTTCCCTATAATAAAAACATACAGCACTATGAGCTTATTTTTAGTAGTTCGTGTCACTGAATTTCAAAGGAAACACTCCGTTGCATCACATTAGGACCTGTGTCTTTGCATGGACAGGACTAACCAAGTTATGCGGTCATTGCAGTTACAGAAAATATTTGATTCTAGGGCAATAATTTTGGCTTTTCCTCCGAAGTTCGGGAGCCAAACTAAACCACGATGCTTGGTTGTGTTTCTTTTTACTGAATCTGTTGTGAAATCACACTGCTGAGCCAAGGATACAGGAAGATTTGTAGTTAATTAAATCTTCTGGCATGGTACAGGATCCCACACAGGACGTTTTCAGGAGGTGCAGCCAGAAAAGGGTGTAAGTGTTGCTTTCAAGCCAGCAGCACTCCCAATGATCCTTATGCTGTCCTGGGAACTGAAGGGACTTGAAAATAACTGAAAGTCAAGTTATCCTTTTCCTCATCTGCACCAGTGCAAAGCAGAGCTCTGATGCAGGCAAAGACTGGCTCTTTTGAGATTAGCAACTTTAGTTAATTATTTTTAATTTGAACATCAGTTAAAATGTACGAAGATTTGAGAGTGCCAACTTGGCCTGCGTAAAGAAGCTGAGCCACTTGAAAGCATACTTCTTAATGAAACCTTGATGTATAACAGGCAGTCTTTTGCCGACTCTGTTATGAAGGCCAGGACAGAGGGTTTGAGTGGTAAAAAGTTATGGGAAAAAAGCTAATTGTCATTTGAAAAATGTGATTTTCTTTGCCATTCAAGCTTCCTGAGCACATACTGTCATCAAAGCAAAGTTAATAATTAAAAATAAAATAACTTGTGCTGCAGCAAAATAGTGTCAGCCAGATGTTAAAACTTGGCTCAAGCTGCCGCTACCTTGTTTCTAGAATTATATATGTGATTTGGTATGTAAGAGTGAGTTCTGAGATCAGCAGGACACTACCAGCTTTCATAGTGTTTTAAAATCTGGCCAAATTTAAACATGACTTCCGTAACCGACCCGAGTGCCTAAGTCAAAACTAAAATGTCTGATCTATTTATGCAGATCCAAAGGACAGCACCTTCCCCACAGTAGTAATCAGGGCTCATTAGTGATTACAACAGTATTTTACCTCATTTTTACTTGAAATGTGACCCTCCTAGAAACCATTAGATGTGCAATTGTCTATAAAACTGCCCAGTGTACTGTGTGATGTGTATATCCTAGCAAACAAATGAATTCAGCATTAAAATCAGTTGAATTGCATATCTATTTCTGGGGAACAAGCTGTTTGTTTACTTTTTTTAAATTTTTTAATTCTGCAAATTGTTACACCAGATGGCCTGTTGAGCCAACAATAGATCATCATGTCTCACCACAATGGGATGTCTTTCTGGCGAGCTTGAGTCGAAGCTGTTAAATATCAGTCCTCACCAAGCACATACCTAACAACTTCACCTGAATTATTTCTTTCCATCTGGTCTGTGGTAGTGTAAACAATTTCCTGCCTCCTTGCATAGCATCTGCAATGTGCATAAATAAGTAATCTAGTGCTGAAACAATTATTTTGAACTCATTAAATTCCATTTCTGGATGCTAGCAGATTCCACACTTCCATGGGCAACTGAATACTCATACTAATTATGGTAAAGAGTTTGATAATTAAGTATTTCTATTTTTAAATTATGCTCTTTGACTTCTATTCCCACAGAGGTCTCAGTCTGCATTCTCCCTGGCTAGTGAAGATATGCCCAGTAAAGGACTAGACCCTGCATCGTCTGTGACTGAGGCTCTTTGGAAGCAGCAAAAAGGACAATTCAGGAAAGAGAAGGAACGCAAGCTCTCTGTGTTACCCAGCTGGAAAAGTGTGGACAGGCTAAATGAAACAAGTAAATATTTCTAGTACGACTATGATTCTTCTTTTGGTTCTCACTTGCATGTGGAATAAATACGACTTAAAGCAAGTACCATCACCAGGAAATTTCTGCAGACCTCAGTGTTTGCAGGGCTCACATGTAAAAATGTCTGTTTGGTGATGCTGGATGTCATGAATTCATTGGGCTGTGTCATTGTTTATCTTAGCTTTTTTTTCCCCCCCAAGAAAAGATTCAAAATTTGGGCGTTTGGACTGTTAGGAAACATTAAACATCTAATTTGGATGCATTTCAGAGCTTCTAAAACATAAGAACCCAAGGGCCCTGTGTTGTCACCTAGTTATCTGTCCTCCAGTTTAAAGAGTTTGCAGCTGCCCATAGTCTCCCTTCTGTTGCACAGTTAACTGTTCATGAGGTTACATAGTGAACCAAACAATGAAATAATTCACATTTAGGATTCCCCCCTGCACCTTTATTTTCAATTCCAATGAATTCACCAATGCAGTGTTCTGTGCAGCCCTACTAACTCCTGCTTTGACACAATTTTGAGGAAGCTATATGAGTAGGAACTTCACAGACCAGCAGGTCCCCTAGATCTGTGTCCTCTGTCTTTCTGTGCGTTAGGTATGGATGTGAATGTGTATGGTGAGTAGCTTCCCAAGTCAGCCCCATTCCTGAATCAGCACCCTGGGATAGAAGGCAATTCCTTGCTTGCTTCAAGATGACATTAAGTTCAGACTGTCATTGAAGAAGATAATTCCTGCTCTTGAAGGGGTCCCATTTCCACCGCCTGTCTTGTTCTGGCTGTAGTGTTCATGAAGCTACAGGAGCATAGCACCAGACAACTGCTGCACAGAAGAACTGGTTAGTTTTCATCCCCACAGCTGCACAAAGGGGAAAGGCTGAGCTGCTCACTGCAGCAGCAGCCCCTGGCCCCAGGTGATGTGGAACAGCAAAGCTAACATATCTGCTGCTGTTGTCCTCCCACAACAGAGTCTGCTTTTTCTGCTTCGTCTCTTGTAACAACTGCAGAGCCCATCTGAACTCTGTAGCAAATTGCTTCATGAAGCTAAACTAGCAGAAAACTTCTCTTCTGTAGGGTGAGTTTACTGGTGCTGTAATTCTCACAGCTGGCTCATAGGCACTGGCAAGCAGAAGCAGCCAAGATATATCTGGATATAGTGGGGACCAGGGATGGCAGCTGCCCATCAGTTGGATTCATTTATCTGTAATGCAAGTTGATAACCTGTGAGACCGAAAATTAGATACCTCCTCCCCCCAAAAAGAAGGTGATAGTAAAGTAGTGCTAAAATCTGACTTAACTAAGTATGCATTACTTCATGAGCTGTTCATTTCACCCCCTGTGAGAAGTGTTGTTCTCCTGGGCATTTTAGTGCAAGGCCTATTTTCAGTAAAGCAGTTAATTGGGTGCTTAAATTTAAGAACCCACTTCAATCCCATTGAATTCAACTGTTGAGCGATTTAGTACTTAACAATTGCTTAAGCATAGCAGAATGACAAATTGACCCAGTTTCTTTTCAGGTGCTCTACTCAGAGGATTTGTTCTGCTTCTTTCATCTAAGAACCACATTTATGATGAAATTGTGGTGCCTATTGAGCTTATAGTAAATTCCTGATGGTGCTGATTTGTGTAAATATGATCTCACGTATGGTAGTAGCAAGCAGCTCTGTATTAGGATACAGAAAATGAAAGAAATCTCAGCCAAGAATTTGGAATGGTAACATCAATGGGCTTTTTAGTCATGTAGCCGAAAAGCAGTTCACAATTCATTTTGATTACGGTTTGCGCTGGTTTAAATGATTACTCAAGAGCCAAATCATGAGTTAGTACTTTTTTTCCCCTTTACCAATAGTTTCATAATGAGACTTCTTACATTTATGTTCATTTTCACATGGATAATTTATAGTGTATACCCAAAGAATTGTGTGCAAAATCCATTTTTTCAAGTTAAGTGACTTTGGTTTGGAAAATCAGAAAGGGAGCATTTGACATTACTTGAAGCCGAGATAAAACTGGGTCAGCTTTCTCAATATAAAGTTCTTGGTGACTTTCCTTTCCACCCTGCCTACCCTCTAAGATGTAATCAACTACTATCCTGCCCTTTCTTCAGTTAACAGAGGGTGTTTGACTGAATCTTCTGTGTTCTTGCTAAACAAAATAAGGGGATATGGTTTGGGAGAGAGAAAAGCGTTAACGATGTAGCACTCCACTGCATGATGTTTGTGTAATGTGGTGCAGCTGAATTCAGTTCATGTTGGAGATTTACATCTTGCAGAGCTGTTTGCTTTGTTTGAAGGATCAACGTGTTTAAGGAAAGGTCCTTCTCTCTTAAGAGAATCCTATACTTAGATTAGTGAGCATAGTTGGAGAAGTGAACAAGCAGAAGTTCCTTGTGCTTGATGGCTTGTATTCTTGTTTCCTCCCAAATCAGGTGTTACAATGAAGAGTTGTTAGATCTCCCTATGAACCTGACTTCAGTTGTATACTCAGCTGGTCGCTGCTACAAGAAAACTATTACTATTTTGATTTATTTTTAAGCACGAGTAAGAATGACTTCAGTAAAGTGTTTTCTCAAGTTCTTTGAATTGGCATGAAATTAAGGAAGCGAAAGCAAGCCAAAAGGACTCAAACAAGTAATAAATACAAAAACTGTTCTAAATCTTGCATCATGTTTCATTTTTGTGGAGGTGTTTTGTTGGTGGTAGAACACTACAGACTTTTTTTTTTTTTTAAATCTGAGCACACCTTTTTACTGCATACTTATGTTCTTCCAGGGAAAAAGTCATCTTCTTGAGCTCCAAGTATTTGCAGTCATATCATGCAAGGTGCTTGAGTATCATCTACAACATTATCGAGTGTGTAGTTATGTTCTGTTTTAAATAGAGATGTTCTGTTTACAGTTTTAGAAAACCAATAGTTTATAATAAGTATTTCTACAGTTTTCTGGAAATGGCAAATTCGAACCCATGGAAGGAATCCATAAGGCTGAAAAGTTCATTCAGTAGGCTGAGATTTCTGTGTAACTTCATGGCTTTATATATTTATTCAACAGCTGTGGGAGGTAGAGTCATCACATATTCACATTTCCCATGAACAAACTTTTCAAGTGTGACTGGAAATGGAATCTAAGCTTAGAAGAAATACAATTCTGTGAGTTACACAGCACTTTTGGACCATATTTGTGGCTTCTATTTTTCTGTTGGAGTTGTAAAACATACTCTGAAAGAGCTTAAGAATACAAGAGCAGCAGTACGTGGGTCAGACAAAAAGTGCATTCAGTCTAGGATACAACAGCAGCAGCAACAGTAACCATAAGCAAGAGCCTAGGAAAGATTAGGAGGAAGCAAGTATTTTTCATGCTGCCTCTGAGTAGGCTCTGACCCACCAGAACTTTGAGCTTCATGACTGCCTCAGCTAGAAGTGGTTTCCTGTATTTAGGAAACCTCAGTGGATTTCTCTTCCATGTCCAAAGCCATCTCTGTTTTATCCCAGATTAATTTCTAGCATCCATAACACCCTTAGGCAAGAAGCTCCACAGGTCTAATACCCATTACTTCCCACTTCTTTCTTTTGTTTGTTTTGAATCTTGATTTCACTAGTTTCACTTGATGTCCTCTAGTAGTTAGATTAGAAGAGATTCCCCCATCTCTTTTAGTGTATATCCTCTCAGTCTTCTCCAGACATCAGAGCTCTGGCTTACTTAATCATTCCTTGAATGGAAGCTGTTTCAGAACCTGGTGCAACCTTTGTTGCTGTTGTCTGATTGTTTTTCCTTCTTTTATTTTCAAGAAGGGGGACCAGAACTGCACGTAGAATTGAAGACATTTGCAAAACACAGGATTTATGCATGTCTGTGTACTGATGTTCCTCAGCCTTTCCTAATAATTCTTTTAGCAAAAAGGGTTGGTCTAAGTACTTTCACATTCTAAGTAGTCATCACCATGACTTTTAAGTTGTGGCTTCTGATTAAAAGGAGAACAGCAGCATGGCTCACAACATGAGAGAATTCATGTAGCAGCAACAGTTGCATTTGTTCATTAGTTTTGCTGAACCCTCCAATTTGTGGCCAGTTGATTGCAAACTGGCAAGTAAAGTGAGCCTTTCACCCTGTGGTCACATAGCGAAAATTGTTCTTGTTTTGTTTTCATAGATCCACCTTCTGTTTTTCAAAGCACTGATGGAAACTGGGTAGCTCTGCAGAATGTTGCTCTGCCTCGTCCTCGAATGCTCGCCAAACCAAAGAGTCAAGTGTTTGAAGCTTTGGAGAATGAATCCAGCATTGTGTCTGCCTATGATGAGATGGGCTCAGACAGTGAGGATGACTATGACTGGAACGTAGCCTTGAACAAGCTGCGTCGGAGACCTCGGCAATTACCAGACGATTTCTACTATACCAGTTCCCAGTACGGTACTGAATGGGTTTATAGCAATGACCAGTACCGGGCAGTGACCTCCCCTTCCTCTGGGTTATACACCAATACTGAGACACTGTTCTCCGATTCTGAAACATCTTCAGTAAACTCTTCCCAGGAAACTAAAGGACCTAGCAAACTTCTCTGGTTACAAAGCAGAACTCACAGTGATATGCCCAGAATGGAAAAAAAACATTTCCATGGAGAACTGGATGTAAATTTCAATCCACAGGCAACCAGCTTGGAGTACTCAGACAGCAGTGAGGCTGAAGAAGTCCAGTATGATTCAGAAAAGAGATCAAGAAGGTGGAGGAAGAACAAAGCGATTTCTGAAGAATTATGTGAAGGAAAAAATCACACAAAAACCAACGAGATGAATTTAAGTCAGGTAATTGCGTTCGAGTGTATCGAATGCCATCTCAAAAAGAGCTGGGCAAAACTAATTGAGCTGTACTGGCAAAAACATGTGTGAGTGGAAGGTGGAGTGTTCTTGCAAGCCTTATCCTCCTCATGCCTTGTAACTGAGAAGACGAAAAGGTAAAGTGCTACATAGACCATGAACAGGCTTTGCCTCTTTCTCAGATATGCCACTTCCATCTGATCAATGACATTAACAGTGCTTTCAAAAAAAAAAAGTCATGATTTGCCAACAGCTAACAAATGTTGATTAATTACCAGTTCTGTTGCATTGGGTTTTGTTTTTAACTCCTTTGCTCTTGGAATAAGAAGTAACTCATATGCCTGGGAATCTTCTGTGTGCTGTTTGCAAATGTCCTGGTAAGGGATAAAGCTAATGAGCAGCAGAAATTCAGGAAGGGCTGTGTCTGAAATAGGGTCCAAGTGATGTCTGCTTTTAATTGGTCACCTGGTAAGGTGTAAACACTTGAGGGAAAGTGTTTACAAACTACTTCCATTTAAATAATCTGTCATTTGGTTAAAAAAAAAAAGAAAAACAAAACAAACAGAACATAACAGCTCAAACTTGGAATAACTGATCATACAACGCGAAGAGAGCAAAGCACTCCACAAACATTTCTTTTAACAAGTGTGGGACAACCAGAAAGCGAAGAAGTCTGTTTGAAGTTTTTCCAGGCCTAGGACTGATATTACATAAGGGATCTAGTTGTCCTCTAAAACTTTTTTAGCAGTACAAGCACACTTCTAACTAATTACTCAGCTGGATGAGAGTACTGACCCCTTGTCCAGTTCTGTTTCCCTTGTCCTACCCCTCTCAAATCCTGTAGCTGCATCGTTGCTGCAGTGGGGTAATGGTAAGCCTGAAGCAAGGAGTTAAGTGCTGTCTTCTCCTTATGTCTCTGACTACAAGCAACCTGATCCAGTCTTTAAAGCCATCTGAGCAATTTTAGGACACCTGGAATTGTTTTTCTTTGCTTATGCTACCAGCCTGTATTTTCCACAGAAAGACGTCAGTACAGCTGATTGTAAGCCAAGATTAGGATTCTAGGATTTCAGCAGGTTTTTAATGCTGGGTAAACTATTGTTAATTCTGTATCTATTCTATCTATTTTAGGAGACAGGTGTGGGTGTTTTGTACTGATTCATTTATACTAACATCCTCAAACATTTATAGAATACAGTTGTTGAAGGGAAGTTATGTATGAATGTGCTCTAACACCATGTCAGTGGCCATTAATGACCTCTTAGAACATCAGGCAGAAGAACTACAGGACTTTCCAGGGACTACACAAAGACCATATTTTGTACATCAACTTCTGCATTTCCCTCTCTGGCTTTGCGTATTTATGCATGTTCTGTGTGTCTATGTGTGTCTGTGTATTCATATTGTAGCTTTCAGGTTACTACTGCTCTGCAGAGTATAGAAGAGCAGAGCTCACAGGGAAGATGTCCTGGAGATGTTCCTCCAGTGAAACACAGAAAGACAGGGTGCTTCCAGACATACATGATGGCGTCTTTCAGCAGCTTAGCGTGTGCTTCAGAGTGCAAGCTGTTGCAGAAAATTATTGTTCTTTCCGACTCTCTTGTGAATTGCTTTGCATCTTAAGTGCTAGTTATACCTCTCTGTTGTGCTGAAAAATGCAAGGTTTGGGATTCTGACCCGTTCTCCCCTTCATTTTACCCCTGAGGCTACAGGACTGTTCCTGCTGTCCTGCTCTCTCTGTCACAGTGGGGCAGGCAGAGGCACGCTGCCTCCAGATCACACTACTGTTTTTAAAGCAGTGAAATTCTCACTAGGAAGTTTATGTATGGATGGGTTTGCATACATTTAGTTTGCGTTTGGACATCCACACGCACCCAGTGGCTGATTTGACAGCCAGTGCCCACATTCAGAGAACTGTTACTCCAGCCTCTTGTACATGAGCGCTGCTGGGAGCAGAAATGGACTGGCTGCTACAGTTTATAGCAAGGATGTTGCATGGTTGAGCAATTCTAGGGAGCAATTAAAATGATCGTGAGCATAAGGAATATGATTTAAAGTATGATAATAAATTAGCCAGACATCATTTATATTGCTTAGAAAAATTAGATTAAAGGGATGTCAAGGTTTCATATAATACTCAGAGTAATATATTGATCTGGGTAAAATGATTGAGGCTGCAGCAGAGAGAGCCCTACATGTAAACAGTTTGTAGAAAATGATAGTGTAGGTGCATGGAGAACTGCAGTCAGCGTAAAGGAAGCTTCATTGTGGGGGTCTTAAAGCAGTCATAGATTTTTGCATGCTGAGGTTATACAGAGTTTACAGAAACCATACAAAATGCTCTTTTAAGCCACATTGCACCTAGGCATTAGATACTGAACAACTGGTCATATGTAAATTACAGTAAAGAAACATACTTTTTCCTATTTTCATTGTATTGTAATAATAACCTTATTTTACTGCATTGTAATAATAACATGACAATTCGTTAACTTACGTTTTCATCAGCATTGTGGAACAGGATTTCAGTTTAGCAGTCTAAAAGTTAGGATTTCTTTTTTAATTTTCAAATAGTGCCGGTCATTTTCTTGTTTGCTGCTCTCGGACACTCACAGTGAAATGAAAACGGACCCTTTCCTCTCTCCCTGCTCCAAGGCTAGAGAATTCTAAGCAGTAGCATTCTGGAACAATTGTACTTATGTCATAACTCATAACTGAATTTCTATTAAGAATTAGGCATTTTTAAATCAAGATCCAGTACCTAGATTAGGATAATACTGTGGCAGTTTTTTAAAACGGATTTTAGACTCAACACTGGAATGCTGATTTAGTGACTGAGAATTCATTGTGTGGTCTGAAGTGACCTAAAAAGAGAAACCTGAAAACAATTATCAAGATGTCCTGTATTTGGGGAGAATTTTTTGCCACTTTATGATAGGTAAAAGAACAACCTGTTTCACTGGGTTGCCTGTAGAAACACTGTAAACATAGTCATGAAGCAAGTATGGAAAACTGTCCTGATAAAACTGATAACCTACTGTAATAAATTTCTCATAACCTGAGTGCTCCTTTAACACAGAACACATGTTCCTGGGCAACCTGGCTTGGGAAGTGCAGTCTTGCTTTTAATGATAGTTCTTTTTTGAATTATAACTTCTTACTAGAGATTGCCACTCAAACCACCAATCTCTTATCTGCTTCATTATTATTAATAATAATACTGTGTTTGATTTCATTATCTTTTTGAGAGGAGGAGATTTTGCTTACTTTAGCTGCATTCTTACATTTCTGATGGAAAGTGGAGTGGCTTAATTGCTTCAAGTGAAGGAAGTGCCCTCATTATGAGTTTGCTTCTTTGATCAGGAGACCCCACCTGTTAATTACAGCTCTCCTGCCCTGCAGCCAGGTAAGGAGTGAGTGCTGTCGGACTGTCAGTCCCCACGGGATGGCGCTTGGGATGTATTTATGGAAAACAGCTGCCCTGAAACGGCACTGGCTCTCACTGAGAAACTCTGCAAACCTCACAATTTGTGTCTTCTCCTAAAAACTGTAGTTTCTGATTTTTGGTCTCCTATATGAATGGATCTTTTCTCTCAAGAGTTTACAGTATAACATGGATTTGGTTCTGGAGCTTCCAAGCCAGTACTTTGTTTGCTTGCTTTATTTTGAAGCTTTTTTTTTTGTTGTTCACTAAGATTACAATGACTTATGAGCCATTTGCATGTAAGGATTTGGACAGTGTGTTTGAGGAAAGGTGTATTTCCCTGTTGGTTGTCTGCTAGAAGACTTATGCTTGCATTAGAAACACTTGATTTTCTTTTAATGAGACTGAGTTTGTGACTGTCAGGCCCTTAGTGAAGCTCTGTTTTCAGGTAAAGCAGGAGCCCTTTATTCTTGTTTGCAGGTGTTCATATTATACGTTGCTGATAGGTGCAAATTGGAATTTACACAATGATTTGTACAAACGTGAAGATGTCATTGAACTTATCAGATAGAGCCAAAGCATGAACAGTAAAGAATAATTAAGTTTAAGATAGCATCTATTAAATAAATAATAATCATAGTACCTTTCAATGTATTTATTATTTTTTGTTGTTGTCATGGCTTCTAATGCATTTCTTAATTTGTTAGTCCACGAAAGAGGTATCATCTCCTTGCAAATTCACTGCCACCATCTGAAAAGCTCGACACACAAGCCAAGCAGCCTACCAGTAGCAGACACCATAAAGTATAGCATTGTAGGATATCATTATCTCTGCATATAAGCAGGAACTAACAGCTCTTACAAATGTAAATACTCTACCTGCTCCTTGTAAGGAGGTTGAAAAGCAGAAAAATGAATAATACCTGAATCCAGCTGTAATAAAATCAATACCCTCAAAGTGAGTTCTCCCCCAGGAAAGGATGTGTATTCATAACGCAAATTTAGCTCATGTGGAATAAAACCCTAGGGATGCCAAGGCAGCTTATGACTTTTACCTGTACTGGCAAACATAGCAAAAAGCTAAAAAAAAAAAAGTAGCAAAAAGTTAGTGATATGTGATTATGTTTCATTAGCAGATTGTTGGGCGTGGATTGTAATGAGTTGTTGAATGACATGCAGGATGTGTCTTTTGTATGTGTTAAAGTATAAGCTAGAATTGGGAACTTTTTGGTAACAGCGTGACAGTGTGGCTAAGGTAACATAGCAGCTTACTGCTACCAAAAGAGGAACGCCTCCTCCTGTCTGCCTTCCTGCCTTCCCTCCATCTGCCTCCAGCGTGGTCCAGCATCTCTCCCTTGTCAGCTCTGGCACGTTTTTGGACCCCTTTACCAAGCCTACACAACTCATCACAATCAGGTAAACAGCAGGAAGGCACAGGATGACTCTTTCAGCAGCACAGGTTGTTATGTTAGCTCACCTTGTTTCATAAAACTACATCCTCAGCTGAAGGTGGGCAAATTAGCAGTATTGTCCTGCCAGGCCTTCCTCCAAAATGCATGGGAAGTCAGCTGGAGGACTCTACAGAATTTCACTGAGCGTTGAATAGGGGCAGTGGAGATCAACCTAAAAGGTGCTGCCATGTGTGGTCTTAGGAAGACTGGTATATTTTCAGGATCAAGAGGAGTTGTGATTCTGCTGATGTCAATATGGATTCTTTAAATTAACCGGTGGTGCTTTCCACAAGGGTATGTGTGTATTGCTACTTTGATGTAGCTGCTAAGCGGTTAGAGCTAAGCAGTTCTATGTAAGAAGCCTCCAGAAGAATCATACATGTCTTCCTGCAAGGTGAACTCCATCAGTACTTCATGGTACAACATGAGGTGGAAACGTGGGAAAACCTGCTCCTCTGGACTGCCAACCGCCCTCACTGCACTGCTCCACTAGGTTTTATACACATATTTGTCAGCTTATTTAAACAAGAATAGCAAACTTTTGCCTTTACAAACTTGATCTGCTCAAGTGTCTGCATAGAATGGGTTTTTCTTCTCTCCCTTGCACACTCGACTCCAAGGTAAACTGTACTCTTCCTGCCGTGACACTGCTAGAGGAAGCCCACAGCCCTGGTGCAGAGCTGTCAGAGCTCACTAGCAAGTCTTGTAATTCTAAACCACATGCTGTGGGAGACGAGAGTAGGTTTTTGAAGGTACCTATTAAATAAATAGAGGTAACTCAAGTAAAGAGGACTTCTAGTAATTAGCTTAGACTAGGTACCTAACTATAAATAGCTCAAGTGTAATGAGATATATCTCCACTAAACTATTCTCCTAAAATACAAGTGCACAGTTTAGCCATGCTTTCTATACTGTAAATTCCATAAATTATGATTGGTTTTCTCCTGGGTACAAATTGTTGATCTGATTGATTCGGCAGTAACTTTCAGATTTTGTTTTATCATAATTTAGCAATACATGACTATTTTTCATTAGCAGATTGTTGGACAGGAGTTGTAATGAGTTGTTGAATGACACTCAGGATATGTCTGAAAAAATCTCTTGGTATAATTTGAGGAAGCACCGTTATGATAAATACAGATTTTTAGTTAAAAAGATGAAATGACATCAGTCTTCTAAATGCATGTAAAAGCATATTATAACATAGCATAAAACTAAAGTGGAAGCACACTGATTAGAATCTTGTTCTTGAGCTTATTCAGAACAACTTCAAAGTTCATTTGGCAGAAGAGGCTTTTTATTCTGCAAAAGCTGTTTGTTTGGGAAAAGAATAAATTTCCACATAAGCCTGTAGTTCCACTTCTGTTATAGTTAATCATGTACTTTCAAATCCTGATTTTCCAGAAGGGTGTTCTGCATCCTGGAGGTGAGCTATAAAGCAGTAATTTAGTTGTGTAATTGATTCACAGGTAACTGCAGACAAAAATTGTCCAGAAAGCTGTGAAAGTGCTGGACACTACATAGTGTGGTTTACTGTATGAGAGATGAGGACTGACGTTATGAACGTGATGTGCCAATCCATTAAGAGCAGTTTGGCGGGTAGAGTTTGTAAGAGAGTTGTCAGAGCTAATGTTTCCCGTGAGCACTGGAGGTAATTGGTCCATCCATAAATACTGCTGCTGCGGCTGCAGAGAGAGTAGCTGTGCAAAGCATATCTTCTCTTCACGTATTTCCAAATGAATGATAGAACACAGCTTTTAGTCTCTCCAGCAGTGTCTGGTCCTGTCGCGGTAGGAGAGCATGAGGCAAATAGGAATAACTTTCTATCTGAGAATTGACCCAAATCATCCTCCTAGACCTGCTGCAATGTGCCTACTGCTTCTGGGTCCCAGAATGCGTTCTTTATAGCCTCCTTCCAGGTAGTTTTGTCATGATTATGCTCCATTTCAAAGAATTCATCGCTTTTAAAACCACCTAATTCCACCTTTATGCACTTGACTGAAGCACTAAACAAAGTGTCTAAGTATTCTAAGCTCTCCCCTAGCAGTCAGCAGGGAGAGAAGAGCATTTCCAGGAGGCAGTTAACACTATGGATGGAGCAAGTTGCTCTAGGAGATGGATGTCTCTCTCCAGGGACTGTAGTGGAAAACAGGGGAAATTGGGTCCTAATCAGACAGCACAGATCCAGAAAATAACTTGGTATGTATCTGGGCATTAATTTTTGGCATAACCATCAGATATTTTCTGATTTCCTGCAATGGCTGACAAAAAAAAAAGAAAAAAAAAAAAAAGAAAAAAAAACCCTTTCCACATTATTACATGTTGGGCAGGAACATGTAATCCTTCCAAAGGATTTTGCTTTTCTTCTGTTCAGCCTCCAAAGTAAGCAACTTGTCAGGGTCGAGTCTGTAACACCCACTGTACTTAACTGAGCCTCTGAGAACTTCCCACCTTTAAAGACCCAAGACTAAGAAAAGAAGGTGCTCCTAAAGATTGACCTTGTTCCAAGAAGGTTGTCATTTGGAAAATAATCATCAGTGTAGAGGATCCACTTATGTAAATAATCACTGAGAAAGCTGAAAATCTTAAGCACCATCATGTAATAAAAGAGAGATTTTTCAAAACTTGTTTCCGGTCGTCTTTAAGAAAAACATGGATAGAAAAACATGGATAATGCTCCAGGCCAGCCATCAGGGAACTCGAGTGCAGCTTTCAACTGAAAGCTGGACACAGCAGCCAGATCACAAGTGATTTCATTCCCACATTTCACTGTCTTTATCCGCACCGTGCCTGAGAGTGACGGCAGTGCAGTGCTGGGAATGGGAAGTGCCATTTAGGCTTTTATTTCATTGGTTGCACACAGATACATTTTGAT